TACATTAATATATTTTATATCCCTAACATTATTAATTTATAAAATTTCTATTGTATATTTATCAGCTAATGGTTTAATTTTTTTATGCGTTTCATCCCAATATAAATCTATACTGTTCAATTAAATTAAGAAATAAGCCCTCAAAGTATACTTTTATGAAACAGAAATAAAATATAATTTTTTTTGATGAAATTTTAAATTTATTGATCAATCAAAGAATATTATTTACAGCTACACAAAACTGATAAAAATAATAGCTTTAGTGCAGAATTAAAAAAAAAAACCTAAAGAGTGACTTGGAACCATCTTCTAAGTAACCCCTCTAGCTTGTGTCCTTGCTTGTATCGAAGTGAGCTGATGCGATTTCGCACTGCCTTGTCTATGAGTCGGCGTACGTGATCAGTTGAGTTCCGGTTTTGCTGATGGCGTCTTGCATTTCTTTCCCTCCAAATGTGATACACTATAGTTTGGGAAAGCATTTTTGCAAGAATAGAATCAAGACTCTTCCCACCCATTTGCTGCAAACGATTCACAGTCCAGAGCCAGTCCGGATTGATGTTTCTTCCAACAAGCTCTCGTGCCAGTGGCTCCCAAATCGTGTATGAGTAAGGGCAGGCGAATAAAATATAAATTTATATACTTTTAATAATTAAAACAGTAAAAATATAAAACGAAATTCATGAAAATTTTAATTTAATATTTTTAGATTTTATAAATAAGTCAAAATAAACAAAAAAAAATCTGAAACTACAACTGGTAAAATTAATAGAAGTAAAGTATAAATCTATAAGATTTGTGATACATCTCCTAAATTTTGATATATATATTTTTTCGTCCATCTATCTATGGATTAAATAAATTTTTGTATCTATATACAATATATAAATAAGACTGTTATTTATTTTTCTTATATAACTCTAAAATTTTAAATATATTAAAATTTTCTTCATAAAAATGTCAGAAATATAAGTACTCAATTCTAAATTAGTGAAACACAAATTTTAATTACATTATAAAAAATGTTTAACATAGCATCATATACTTTTTATATAAATATGAATTTAAATTATAAATGAAAAAATAATCCACGCGTTCGTGTAGATCCACTATAATATAAACTTGATTTTAAATAAATTTTTACACAAAAATTAAAGAAATTATTTATTAAAAATATATTTAAAGTGGGTAGAAAATCCTCTTCGTACACATATGAAAAGTAACAAAAAAATCTGGAACATTATGGTCCAATGGTAAGGATGTGCTCTTTCCTAAATCTAGCTTGCGAATTTAAACCAAACTGGAGGGAACTATTACATGATTGTCTCTAGACACTGTATAAATAGACCCATACTTTCAGCCCATGTACAATCCCAGCGTGCGAGTCTATCTTTGGGTTATGCACTCACAAGAAATTTGTTTAATTTGTTTGAGGCTTAAATTTACTCTAGTTATCAAATTATTTTTGTCCATAAGATTTATGAACATGTTATTTGCTCTGTATTGTAATAATATGTTAATTTTACTTATTGTTTTTTTTTTGCTGTTTTATATTATCTTTTCTTCGCTGGATATTGGAAATTGTCTAGTGATGACAATATTCTGATATTTAAATTGATCTGGTTTCTTTTTATGGGAGATTAGGTCAGCAATAGGTTCTTTACAAAAGATTGTCAATTACACTTTGATAATTTTAAAATAAGCAATTTTATAAAATTTTCGTTTTGTTGTTGATTTCATTCAATATTTATCTATTTTGTTAGTTTTTGCCTTTTGATTATTCAACAAATCGTTGACAAAAAAAAAATTATATCAACAAATCCCCCATACTTTTCTATATAATCTTGTCTTCATTAGGATTTGGGAGGGACAAGTGACAACGATATTTAGATATTTAAACCATGTGGTTTCCTCTTATGGGAGATGAAGTCAACAAGAGTTTTTTTTTTTAAAGTCAGCAACAGTTTTCTGCATAAGAGATTAAGTCAATTATATTTTGATTATGTAATGGGCAATTTTAGAAGAAGAAATTTCATTTCTGTTGTTGCTGTCATCAAATTTTATTTGTTTTCCCTTCCTGGTTATCCAAAAGTTTCCACTTCCTTTTTTTATAGATTATCTTGTTGTATTGGGAATAGTCCAGTGACAACTCTATTAGAATATTTAAACCGATATCTATATTATCAAACGACAAATACAAAACAAAAATATCCATTGGTTTTCAACTTATTTACAATGACATACCATTTTAAAATTATTAATTATCCTATCTTAAGGATCTTTATCTTTTTATTTTTAATTAATGCATTTCCAGAATCAAATTCTAACTAAAAGTCATAACAACAATTAATAATATAGTTTTTAGTATATACATATGTGTGTGTGTGTGTTTGAAAATAATTAATAAATCTAGCTTTAAATATTTAATGAAAAATATTGTTTCTAAAGCTTTATAATTATATTTTATTATATATTAGTAATAACTAAAATAAAATTCACATAAAAAGAATCATTTATATAATATATAGACTAATATATAAATATATATTACATATATTTTCATATAAATAATAGTATAGTCCAATTTAAATTCAGTATAACGAATGTTAAAAAGTATAATATATGTAGCAATACATATTTTAAATAGTATATACAATAATTTTACTATAATTATCATAAAATTTGATGCATAAAAATAATAAAGACATTTTTACATGTGGATATACAGATTATATTCTAAAAATATGGATGATACAATTGATGGTTTACAAGATATATAAAATTACTCAAAAAAAAATTATAACCTTTGGGATCAAAGATTTTCTAAGTCTAAATACCAATCCCACGAGACCTTGCGCATGGGTACACAACTAACAAATCTAATGGTACGACTAAGTTGCCAAAGTGGATCAAACTCATGGCATAAGTTCTTGCTGGAACTCCTTTACTAACATGCCAAGACGAGTTGGTTAAAATTACTTAAGATAAATTATAAAATTATTATTCAGAAAAATTTTAAAATATATATTATCACTTATACAAATAATATTTATTTATAAAAAAACCAACATTCCCGCGAGTATGGGAGTCAAGCTCTAATATTTCTTTTATGGGAGAAGAAGTCAACAGTAAGTTTTATTTTTAAGATTAAGTTAATTACACATCTAACAAATATCATGCCCATTCACCCAATAAAAGGATTAAAATAAGTCAAGAACGAGAGAAACTGCATGAGATACACTTTCTATGTTACAAAAAAGATAAATTTTATCATAACTATATTCAACCAAAAATAATTTAGTATTTTAGTTTAGGGTTTAGTATTTAGGAGGCGGGTTTTGGTTTATAAACTTCTATAAATAATTATTAAACATTTAGAAATGATTTAAAAAGGCTTACTATATCTTTTTCATAATAAACTTGAGGTATTTATGAAAATTATTTTAAAATAAATTGCAAAATTGGTATCAAATTTGAGTTTTAAGTTAAACTTCACCCCCCTCCCCTCAATAATTAACTAGTTTTTTTCTGTGGAAGATTTTGTGTTAATGTTCTTTTTGGGTAGATGACATAACTTCTTTTTTATTGAGTGAATTATAAAATGTTAAATTATGAATTTATTTACAAGAACAATATAAATTATAGGATTATTCAAAAAAGACAAATCTCCTAAATAGCACATTTTAATTTTTGTTCACTAAATAGCTTCCTAAATTCATAATGGCCAAAATAAGTTTTACTAAAAGAAATAAATAAAAATAATATATTTATTTATAATTTTAAGTAACTATGTATTGATTATATATAACTAAATAAATATTAAAACCTGAAAAAATATTAAATCAAAAAAAAATTTCTGATTGTTTTGCTAATATGTTTGAAAAAAAAAAATTATTTTAAAATAAGTTAGGGAAAACTTTACTGAATGTGTATAATATCTTTCTGGATTTGTAAATATTTTTTCCTGAATTCAGCAATGCATTTACAAATGTGTAAATAGATTTCTTGAATGTAATTTGTATGTGTAGTTAGGAAATTATCCCTAAATGTGTATGACATCTTCCTATATTGGATTTATATGCATATTTAAAAAAAAAATATTATTCAATATAAAATATATTTTGATTTACGAAGATGCTTTTAAATATGTATAGCATGTTCATAAAATTTAGATACTAAATTTAGAAAGATATTCCGAAAACTTTAGACATATGTTATACATATTTAATAATATTTTACTAAACATACATATAAATTAAATTCAGGAAAGTCTTCAAGTATTATATTCATGAAGGTTTTCCTAAATACATATTTTAATTTTTTTTAAACACATATTTGTGAAATTTTTCTAATTTTATGTAAATATTATACCTATTTATCAATATCTTCCTAAACTTTAGGAATATATGATATTTATTCAGGAATGTCTTCCTAATTAAATTCATATTCAAGAATGTTTTCCTATAAGAAAAATAAAATTTCAAAAATAAAATTCTAAAAAATTTTGAAAAATAATTAAAAAAAAAAACTCTTTTTCAAAAAAAAATTGATTTTTATAAAAGGTTTATTTAATTTTATATATTTGTAAATAAAAAATATAACTGTCATTTACCTTTTTAATGAAATTTATCTTAGTCATGTTGATCATTAAGTGATAGATTAAGAACAAAAGCTTGTTTGGAGATCAATTGAGGCTTATTCAAAAATGTTTTATTCTTTTGCAAAGTGCCGCATACTACACGCAATATATATATTTCTGTTTTTATATAGAAACTAATGAAATGTATTGATGTCCTGCTCTGTTCTGCTTAGGTACAAACATAAAAAGTGATGTCCCAAACTTTAGTACAACAGTATTATATGCCAGGTATGGGATCCTCCCCCTATAAATAGAAAGTCGTGAGCACACGATTAGATGAACAAAACACTAAAATAACATTCATTAAATACTTAGATAAACACGATTTTCTGACAGAAACCAACATTCAAAATAAGAAATGGAGATGATCTTAATTTCTCTATGCCTAGCCACCTTATTAGCCTTTCTCTTTCTAAAACAACTCTTCAAACGAATAACCACCACCAAACTTAACCCACCACCGTCTCCGTGGCGGCTTCCGATCATCGGAAACTTCCACCAGCTCAGTCTCTACCCTCACCGCTCCTTTCGTTCCCTTAGCCTCCGTTATGGGCCACTCATGCTCCTTCATTTCGGCCGTGTCCCCGTCCTTGTAGTCTCCTCCGCTGAAGTTGCTCATGATGTTATGAAAACACACGACCGTATATTCGCCAACCGACCTATGACCAAAGCTATGGACAAAGTTATGAAAGGTGGGAGAGATATCGCCTTTGCCCCCTATGGCGAATATTGGAGGAATATGAAGGTTTTCACTTTTCTAATTCTTTTCAAATAACCGTAAAATTTAATGTTTAAATCCAATCTAATATATGTTAGCTCTAGAAACTAAATTGATAACCTAAAAATCTCTCTAGAAACTAAAAAGTCAAGTTTTCTTGTCACTTAAGGCATCTAATGTGGCCAACGAACAAATATCCACATCGAGAATTCTCACAACTCATAAAACTCTCTTTGTTATGCATGTGACTAAATCATCTAATGTCTCAACGATAATGTGCAGTAAAAACTCTATATATAGTAATGTTATGAAAATATTTTATTAAATTATAGAATTTTTCATTTACATTTTTAGAGTTACTTGGTTTATAATATATTTTAATATAAACAAAAAGGACAACATTTTCACGGTTTATATAAATGTAATTTAGTCTTTATATTATTTTATGATAATTTAGTGTATATAAAATATATATTATATGATATAAATTTAAATATATTATAATAAAATATTATCAAATATTTAACTTTTTAAGAAAATTGTGAGATAGAAGCCGTTGTAATTAACAAAATATACAATAGTTAATATATGAGTATTCTAAAATTTATCATCTTATTAAATTATACCATATTTTCAATTGGGAAATTGAAACTAAATTAGTTTACTAATATATGTTTATTAATTTATCAAACAGTAATTTATAGAGTTTTTATCTTCTATAGAATACATAAGAATGACCTATTAATGATTTATTAGGAGTTTTCATGCGTCATGAGTAGAGAGATAATTGTTTTAAGTATAATATTTTTTCGTTAAAAAGTTAGTTTACATAGGAAAATTATTACTTTTCTATTTTAATTTTATCGGTTTGGAAAACATAAATCACAAATCTATTTTTTTATTCCTTTTGATTTAATTTAGCAATTTCATTTTGATTTTATTTGAGTAAAGCTAAAATCAATTTTTATAAAAATAAAATTTAATTTATTTCACAATATATTATTTAAGTATTATATTTAATATATAAATTCTAATAACATAATATTCATGTGCCATGCACATAAATAATAATTTTAAGTATAATATTCTTTTATTTAAAAATTGTTCACATTAGGGCATTATTAATTTTATATTTAAATTCATCTATTTGAATCACTAGTTTTATATCATTTTCATTTTTGCTTACATATTTTCTACTTTTACTTTTAATTTTAATTTTTTTCAAAATATACTTTTTAATTATTAATATATTTAAATGTTTTTTCAAATTAATTTTTATACAAGAAATTATATTAGTGGTGATATATAGTTTAATAGTCATTACCATATTAAATTTTTCCAAAAATATAATTTTTTAAAGGAAAATTGTACATATCATCATTTTTCAAGAGCTATGTCATCTTTTTTCTTTCAAAATCAATGTAATGATGAAACATGGCAAAATCAGTTCTCATTAATATTCTAATGTCCTCATTAAACTGATTTGGATGCAGACTTTATGCATAGTTCATCTTCTGACCAACAAAATGGTTCGGTCCTTCCACACAGAGAGAGAAGAAGAGATTAATATTCTGATGGAAAAGTTGGAGGAAGCGAGTTCGTCTTTTTCTACAGTAAACCTTAGCCAACTTTTTATTACCCTAACAAGTGATGTAATGAGTAAAGTTGCCTTGGGAAGAAAATATAGCAGTGACGAAGGCACAGTCGATATCAAAACAGTAGTGAGGACATTTGCACGGGTCTTTGGCACATTCCCTGTAGCGGAATATATTCCTAGCTTGGCATGGATAGATTGGATCCGCAGATTGGACGGTAAAGCAGAAGAAGTAAGTAGAACATTCGATGATTTTTTAGAAAAAGTGGTGCAAGAACATGATGTAGATGCAGATAACAAAAGATCAGGTTTTGTCGAAACGTTGTTATCCATTCAAAGAGAGAAGACGACACCATTCTTTTTTGATAGAAGCGACATAAAACTCATCATTATGGTAAGACACATTTGAATCTTTCATCATGTAAAATTATGAATGGGTCATTTGAAACTACTGTGTAAAATCAACGTTTTGTTCCTTTTTAAGGACATGTTCATAGGGGGAACGGCAACAACTTCGTCACTACTAGAATGGACGATGACAGAGCTTATGAGACATCCAGAATGTGTGAAGAAGCTTCGAGACGAGATTTGTTCCGTTTCAATGCATAATTCATATGTAAACGAGGAAGATGTTGAGAAGATGAACTACTTAAATGCTATAATCAAGGAGACACTTCGTTTACATCCACCACTTTCAATACTAGTCCCCCGATTATTAAGCGAAGATGTCAGATTAAGAGGATATGACATTACTGCAGGCACACAGGTAACATCTTTATGTGTTACGTGTTACATTACATGCAAAATTATTATATTCACTCTTAAAAAGAAGAAACATATAAATTGTTTATCAAAGATAATCCACTGGAACTGTAACACAAATGTGAATATTTTTTGGAAACTGTAACACAAATGAAAAAGAAAAAAAAATCCACGTTTTTCAGTATCTTGCAAATAATGTGTACATTTATTAGTGTAAACTAATCTATACTATTAAAAGAGAAGGAGTCTAAATAAATCTACTTAAAAAAGTTGTTTGGACCCTTTCATTATACTAACATTTTTTTTATCTTTCCTTATATTTCTCTAACAATATTGTACAATAACATTATATCATATAACTTACCTTATATTTCTCTAACAATAAATTAGTCAATATTCTTATTTATTATACAATA